AGAAATCTTTTTTTTTTTTAAATAATAAATCCGTCGGAATTCCGTCGGTTTGCGTGGCCGTCGGCAAAAGTGCCGTCGGAAATCCTTCGGAATTTATGGCCGTCGGAAATCCGTCGGTCAGCCCGTCGTCGGAAATCCGTCGGTATTTCTTTCCGTCGGAAGTCCGTCGGTGACCACGGTCGTCGGAAATCCGTCGGCAATTGGAATCCGACGGACTTCCGACGGAAGTTCGACGGATTCCGATTATCTCTTTTCCGTCGGAAATCCGTCAGGTTTTTCCGACGGATATTTATTTCCGACGAGATAGAACCGACGAACTAAAACCGTCGGAAAGCCGTCGGAATAGGGGTTATTCCGACGGATTTCCGACGGTTTTGGCCGTCGGAAACAACCCTGTTTTCTTGTGGTGTTGGTAGCTGGAATAGATACCACAAGCTCGGCTCTAACTTGGTTCTTCTGGCTTCTCTCTAAACATCCTAAAGTTCTAACCGAGATCAACATGAAGATCATCATACCGAGATTCGACCCCGTTGATTTAGACAAGCTTGTGTACCTAAACGCTGCATTATATGAATCTATGAGACTCTATCCACCACTTCCTATTAACCATAAGTCTTCTGCCAAACCAGATATGCTTCCAAGTGGACACAAAGTAGAAGCAGATTCAAAGATTTTGATCTATATATATGCACTAGGGAGGATGAGATCTGTATGGGGAGAAGATGCGGAAGACTTCATACCAGAGTGATGGATTTCAGACAGTGGAAAGGTGAACATGAACCTTCGTATAAGTTCTTAGCCTTTAATGCTGGTCCAAGAACTTGCTCGGGGAAACATTTGGCTCTCTTGCAAATGAAGATAGTAGCTGCGGAGATCATACGAAATTATGACATTAAGATCGTTGAAGGTCACAAGGTCGAACCAATTCCTTCTGTTCTTCTCCGCATGAAATTAACATGGTCTCAAAGTCAGAGTCACTAAAACTTGACTCTTATGTTTTCTTGGCAGTGTTGGTGTTATTTATACGTGTATATCCTTTATTGTTTACCAACCAACCAAAATATAGTAAGGACTTATGAGTATTTGCAATTTATGTGTGTATGCATGATATTGTACTCTTTATAGTAAATCTGATTAAAATGGATAACTTTTCTTATTGCGATTGCAGTTTGATGGTAAAGACTTGTGGATTTAGAACTCAATCTAAATATTTTTCTTGTCAACAAATTTAATTAATTATACATGTTGAGAGTAAGAAAAATATATGAGATCCGACGATCGACGTCATGCAAATATAACACAAGCTACCTGTCCATTTTC